GTATTCAAGTATTCAACTATTCAAGCATTCAACTATTCAAGCATTCAACTATTAAAGTATTCAACTATTCAAGCATTCAGCTATTCAAGTATTCAAGTATTCAAGTATTCAACTATTCAAGTATTCAAGTATTCAACTATTCAAGTATTCAAGTATTCAAGTATTCAACTATTCAACTATTCAAGTATTCAACTATTCAAGCATTCAACTATTCAAGTATTCAACTATTCAACTATTCAAGTATTCAAGTATTCAACTATTCAAGTATTCAACTATTCAACTATTCAAGTATTCAAGCATTCAACTATTCAAGTATTCAACTATTCAAGCATTCAACTATTCAACTATTCAAGCATTCAAGCATTCAACTATTCAACTATTCAAGCATTCAACTATTCAAGTATTCAAGCATTCAACTATTCAAATTTTAACTTCTCAAGTGTTCTGCGAATATTCAGTGGGGAAGCGCGTTCCCCACCTAGCACACCTTTTATTTCAGCGTCGCGGCATGGGGCGCGAAGCGCCTCTCGAAGAGCCGCGACCCATGTACGTCTCTGTGTACACCATTATTTCTACTCAGTGCTGCACATTAGCTGAAGCTTCTCACATACTTCTTGTGGCATTCCAGATAATGTCTGCAGCATCGTAACCCAAAGCTGTAGTATCCTATGAAATGCTTGTAGCATCCTAGGTGATACTTGTATCATCGCAGGTGATGCTTTCAGCATCGTAGGTGATGCTTGCAGTCTCGCAGACAATACCTGTCGATATTAGATGATTCTAGTGGCATTCCAGCCGTTAACTAATTGAGTACTTGAATACTTGAATAGTTGAATTGTTGAATAGTTGAATACTTGAATAGTTGAATAGTTGAATAGTTGATTACTTGAATAATTGAATGGTTGAATACTTTAATACTTTAATAGTTGAATAGTTGAACTAATAGTTGAATACTTGAATTCAACTTTCAAGTTTGACACTACTGGTAAATAACACCCTCCCATGAAGAAAAATGTTCACGATCGATATATAATGCAGATGTTTCACGATTATCCGATATCAAATCCATAACAACTATTCGTGAAACGATATGTCCTTCTTCAGAACCAGATATTTGATCACTTAATGCTCTAAATTAGCAATTTCTATCAGATTCTATTGCTCGAATTGTTAGATTTAGTGAACATATGGTTTCAAATTCTGTAAGGCAATTTGGTTCAAAACAGATATCGTGCTCTTCTTTTTCTTCTTTCCACTAGAACATACGATAGAAATTGACAACCTTATACTTATTCTCAACATCTATACAATTGGATGTTTTCAACATACTTTCTCATTATGGCTCCATTTCTTCTGATTATCATCTTTTTCAGTAGCTAAATATATATCTGATCCGTCTTCCCAATTCGTTTTGATTAAATATATAATTGGACAATCATCGTCAATTTCATAAATGTGCTCAGAATTCTTTTGATGTATGTAAAAGTTAATTCCATATATTTTAACAGCTGTCATAATGTAAGAAATATGTTGAGTAAATTCATCATCAAATGACTTGCAAACTTCACTCATCGTAATAACAGTAATCTATATGTAAATGTATTAAGCTCACCAATCATGTTGGTTGTGTAATGTAGAACAAATTGAATCAATTTCTTCTTCATTATCGAATAGACAAAGAGACAATGCACATTCAGAACAACGATCTTTTCTACTAATCAAACGGATATCCAGTTCATATGCTATTAACAAGATGTTCTTTAATATGATTCATATTGAAGGTATCAATTGACAGAAATGGCATAAAATGGATTATTTGTACCAACGAAAAATATTAAAACAAGATATTTTGTCATAGAAAAATGAATAATTATAAGCGCTATCCCTTTCATTAAACTTTCAGTCAAGTTTCATTTTGCTTTTGTTGTAAAAAACGGTATAATTTAAGAAAATTCTCTGGTCTCTACTCCTCAAACTCTCTGTAACAGTGCGTAGTGATTGAAAAATTGATACATACGTTACTCAATTCCTTCATTCACAATATAAAAAGCTCCATCGTGTTTCACATTTTTAATCCCGCAGGGATTGCGCTGAAAGCTTTTATTTTAGGATGTGTACGGAAAAAAGTTTCACAATTAGTAAATTACGCCTTCAAGATACACAAATTAGCATTTTTTAAGGAGCAATGGATGAAGCGTTAAGAGAAGAGTCTTGATATATGATTAAATAGGGTTTCAACGAATATAGGTAAAAGTTCATGAATGGGTAAAGTATAATTTCAGATGCGCATCTGCTTAAAATAATGAATAATTATCATTTCGAAATTACGCTGGTCTTGCGATATAGTAAGCACCTGATTCAATACCACACATGTTCACACCACGGCGTATTCGGAAGTAGCCCACTTCACCCCATGTAGTTCCCCATGAGTTTCTCACTTTCCAATACGGCACATTAGTAGTGGCATCGACGCCGTAGCCCACAATGACTACAGCATGGTTTGTCGAGGAAACCGACGTCGGACATCCACTTGGCTGAAAAATACCGCTGGCATATGAGCTGAACAATCTTGAGATCGTGCTGTAGGCGCTAGTCGAATCGTCACCGACAAAAAGTGATACCCAAAGAGGTCCATAGTTGGTTAGAGCTTGTTGCATAGCCACAGCATCATTTACTGTAACCCTCTGGTAAAGAAGCGAGCCGTAACGCACACCGCCACTAGTAGAGCCTTTGAATGAACAACTGCCGGCACACGTCTTGTACGGATAGTGTGCTCCGCTGTCTACTTGCCACAAGTTGCTTTGTAAATAACTAAATGTTTGAGTAAAGTATCCTCCATTACAGCCATGATCCAAAAGTGAACACTCTACCAGCTGCTGCTCGCTCAAACTTTTACTGCTTTTCAGTTGGATAGCATATTGGAATTCGAGAAGATTGATGAAAGCAAATGCATAGCAAGATCCACAAGAACCTTGATTTTTTATCGGTAGTATCTAAGATATTGAAAAGAAATTAGCATATCACTATGATCGTTCAAAGAAGCCATGCTTACAACTTGAACGTTGGTGCCTGTCACAACACGGGTCGTGTAGTCGAAAGATGCTGGTAATGCAGCTTTCACTTGTGCCTGCTTTCCATCCCAGGTCAAGAAACGGTCGCCGGGCTTAGCGTTTGTTGCTTTAATATCACCTTCAGGTACTTGAACACCGCGCAGACTTTTCAATTCAGTTGACGTACGATCGGCATATTCATTTAGTCCCACACTGAATGCTTTCCCGCTCCCTACGTAGTGCTGAACCATTGCGTTTAGCGTGTCATTGAATGCATTTAAACGCTCTTTTTCATCGATGACTGTGTTTGTAAGTCGATTGAACTGCTTTTTGTACAGATCGTAGAGGTTCTTCGCCGAGCTTGCATTCCCTACTCGAGAACCCTTCGTTGTTGCAGATTCAAGAAACTTCTTGAGCGCATCATTGAGATCAGTACTAGCAGCATGCACAACGACTGAGACAATCAACAGAAAAATGATCTTCAGCATGTCTTTGACGGTAAGAGTAGGGCGCTTCGTTTACAAATTATGCTACTCTTTTATAGTCCTGCACATGAAACTGAAACAGTGCAAGATTTTTTTCTCTGCTTGCTCGCTCTAACAAAACACAAATCAACATTGCTCCTACATATTCCGCGAAAGCAGAACAAAGAAAAATAAGTAGTAATTTCGAGAGTACTTATTTTTGTGAAATCGTAAATTCTCTATATGCAAGGGGATGAGGGACACTTGTCTGGGTGGGAATGAGTGTGGGTGCTTGTCTGAGTGTGAATGGGTGTGGGTGCTTGTCTGAGTGGGAATGAGTATGGGTGCTTGTCTGAGTGGGAATGGTTGTGGGTGTGGGTGTGTTTATGAAGGGTGTGGAGGTGGATGTGGGTGTGTTTATGAAGGGTGTGGAGGTGGATGTGG